TGTGTGTGTGTGTGTGTGTGTGTGTGTGTCTGGCTGGCTGATAGAATACTAACCTCTCTCGTAATTCCTGTGTATTCCTTGATTCTCTCCACGGCGACGATATTGGTTTCCATTTCGCTGGACTGCCGCACCATCCAGTTTAATACACCAGTGATCTAGAAACGAACAACAAAACAACTGGAAACTTCGCCCGCACTCACTTTACAAACAGCCGTACAAACTCTCTTAAGGGGGCTACCCATTCTAACTTGAGCGTATGTAATACTAATACATGCGAAAGAGTATTTTGCACGTTAACTGACAGACGAGAAACACACTTTATTTTCCAGGTCAAACCAATAATTTATCAATATAGAAATTCGTCATTCAGCTATCTTTTGCCACCAAAATCTTAGGGATTAAAAGGATATGGCAGTTTTACATTCTATATTTCACTATTTACCAACGAAAAAAAAAAAAAAAACCGAAGAAGCAAAACTAACGACAACAACAACAACAACAATATTACAACAATAAAAAGAGAACAAGAAAAAACCTTACATTAAAAACAAAACTAAACTCAAGAAAAATGACTTGAAACAAACCTGTAATGCATATGCCACAGACAGCCCCACGAGACCTGGTGCTATAGTCTCTCTGGAAATTACAGCAAACAATGAAGCGAAAAACAGAATAGCAGCTCCAATAAACTCCAGACGGAGAGCTAACCACCTTAAAAAAAAAAAAAAATAGATAAATAAGAAGTCGAAGAAAGAACGTCTCTCCATTAAGGTAAGGCAGTCAGAGTATTAACTTGGCGTCGATGGTTTAAGGTTGGCAATGTCAAATGCTATATTATCTGACCACTCTGAATATGGGAATAAACCCGTTTGGTTATTTGTCAGCTGGTGCTGCACCACACGATGAGTTAATTTAGAAAGCCATCCCCCACTCTCCCCTCTCCTTGTCATTAGGAAACATTCATTGTAGTTTTAGAAAGTAGAGCAGTTTTAATTGAGTGTCATAAAACCAAAACCAAAGTAATCGCTCTAGCCAATCACAAGGGACACTGGCAATACAATGAGCCAATCAAAACTCAACATAATTACACTGTCCATGTTGCTGACGCGAAGCGCGGGAAAACGAGTGCGAACGCGTCACGATTGGTTTTGGTTTTACTTCTGATTGCATGAATAATTGGCGCGAGTTTTTAAAACAATCATGAAGTATAGTAAGGGTTTAGTCAGGGCAAAACCAATTACTTTTCGACACTCAAATAACCGCTCTATTTTGTATTGTATTTCAGGTTTTGTTCGAAGACATTAACATAACAGATAGTTACTCCAAAGTCGGAGTGAAACTAAAGTTGATGTATATGTGTTGGTATACACACTATCTGGTCCCCTCGCCGTTATATTAACCTAAACGAATTTGCTTGCAAAGCAGTCTTTTGAGGAAACTCTTAAAAAGACTTTTCAAGATGCGAACTTCTCAGTTTGCGAACTTTGCGAACTGAATATTCCCCTGTGCAAAACCAGTGCTGGTCAGAGATCTTTATATTACAGAATAGTAAAACTATGGAACTCTTTAGACAAAGACTTTGACAAAACTCTGAAGACAAAGCTTCTCAGCGAGTTCTTAAACTAAATTTTTCTTATTTCTTTCATTTTTCTTTCTTTCTATTTTTTTTTTCTTTTTTACACCGAGTGTACTTCATACATAATATATAACTAGTGTACTTTGTACTTATTTCACCTCATGTATTATATTGTTCACTGAAAAACCTTTTAAGGAGTATACAACAAAATTTTTCAGGTGTGTACCTCTCTGAAACAACGGGATTTGCTAAGGAACATGAAACGACGCTTAAAGGAGCTCAGTCACGGTTTGCACATATTGAAAAGTTTAGCCTCAATTTTTCAAATTCGTCGTTTGTAATTCGTGTCAATCTTCTCCCTCCTTAGCCATCCTTGATCCTTTATGGTTTATCATTATGTCTTTGGTGTTTTTCTATCTTATTAAACTGTTATTTTCAGGTTTCCTACCATTTAAAGGTAATTTTGTACGTGGCCAAAATAACTCAAAATAGCGTGACTGAGCTCCTTTAAGAAGCTTTTGATTCTGCTTGGGTATTAACGCACAAAGGTTTTCAAAAAAATTACAAACGCGTCAAAAAGTCCACCAAAAAACCTTTCGAGAACTGGTAAACCCTATGACGTAGCATTATAATCAACATCTTCCGGTATTACTCGTCATAAATATAAGTAAGGAGCTACCTGTTTGCACAAATAGCGGGATAATGCGCCACTTGAGACTCATCCACTCGCCGATAGCTCTCCAGGACAAACTTCTCTTGCTGCGAGTAGGCACGAATGGTGCTTGTACCGTTAATGGTTTCAAAAAAGTGATTGTAGATCGGCGACCGGCTCACGGATTCGATTCTCCTTAGTTGACGAGATGTTGATACAAATGCCCTCTGAAAGTGAATAAATCACCAAATGAACGCCTCAAACCTTAAGTCAATAAACCTTCTGTTGATACAATTTTTGATATTTCATACTGTGGTTTTTTTAACATCTCTGCCTATCGAAGAAACAACAACTAAAAGAGCATATAACGGGTCGTCAAGATTCTCCGTCGTTTAATAGTCGCTATACCCTCACCTGTTAAAGGCAATATGTGCATTCCAATTATTCAAAGAGCAATGACACTCAAGGTCGCTTAACTTCAAGAAGCCTTGCTACTCACCTGAATAAATATGTAAAGAGCGCCCAGGGGCAACACGCACGTGAGAAACAAAGGAGTGGAATAGCTGATCACAAAAATAGTACCGACCGTGGACAAGAACGTTCTTATAAACATTCCCAGAGAACGCGGAATCTTATCATCAACCGAATTAACATCTCTTGAAAAACGATTCACAATCCTCCCAATGGGTGTTGTTTCGAAGAACTGCATGGGTAGATGCATTATATTGACAAGAAGTCCTTGGTGCAGGTTTCTCGCAGCTTTCATCGCGCTGTAGGCTAGTATAAGAGACATGCCAGTAGTGAGGAGGACTTGGCCGAATCCCAAGGTACCGTAGACGCCCAGGAATGTGTCACGCTGCTGTGATGTCGTGACATTAGTGGAGCTCCATTTAGCTAGCCATATGCGTGACACGATAATTGAGGATTCTGCACCCAGACCACAGAAGAGAAGAAGCAACGAGCATAGAATGCCCAGACTGGATGCGTACGCCATTATAACTGACAGCTTAACCTGGTGAGAGATAAAAATATCATTTACTAAAATTGATAGAAGCCGTTTTTGATAGTTTTTTTTGACGCCAAATTTACACTGTAATAAGTCATAACCCGAGTTAGTGTGAAGTAATTCTAAAGACCTCGAAATGGACGTGGTAGTAACAAAGAAGAAGAGTGTGAGCAAGCTCTTTTCCTCTCTACTTAGAACAAAAATTAAGAGTAAGACAGGCAGGTGGGTCGACAAAAGACAGTCAGAGAGACAGACAGATGGACGGACGGACGGACGGACGGACAGACAGACCGACAGACAGACAAACGGACGGACTGACAGAATAACGGACGGAAGGACAGACAACACTTTGTCAACACTGAATAACTTCATTTTGAATTGAATGGCCCACAAGAGCACTGTGTGAAATAAAATAAAATGTTCTTTTTGAGGCCCACATTGCACGAAGGTTAGGCCACTGATAAGCTAGACCAACTGTAAGACGAAACTGGAAGTTTAAGTCTGTTTAAATCTGTACTCGAACCTAAGAAGCTGATTAGGCTGGAACTTTAGCTCCAGTTATGTAGTATTAAGAACTAGAAGTATTCCCGCTTCGTTTTTCATCGCAATCTATCACGGGTACTACTCCTGGCTCAGGCAGTATTTTACCAGGCTGCTTCAACAATTTGTGAGTACCCATTCATACTTCTGGAGGCAAAAAGAACCGCCTTGCTAAAGAAGTCAACACAAAAACCTTTTCTAATGCCCAAACTCGGACCTCTCGATGCGGATTTGAACACTGATAAAATGTAAATACACCAGCCACCTTTAGGTGCACAACTCAGATGAATTACAGTCCAACTTCCAGTTGCGACCAACTCTCGTAGGCGGCCACCTCTCCTCAGCGACCAGTTTCCAGAAATACCAAAAGTTTCCCAGTCAAATCACTAAATTTGGAACCTCTTGTAAGCGTCCATTTCTAGTAGGCAACCACTCCTAAAGCTAAACGTTAATTTTTTTTTTGTTTTCAACCTCAAGTGAGCGACCACTTAACAGATGGTAAAGAGGAAATTGTATAATAAGCCGTTGTAACATATCACATTGCTGGGTAGTAGAAGAGATGGAAATTTCTCAATGGGAAGAATTGTTGCTGTTGTTGTTGTTGTTGTTGTTGTTGTTGTTGTTTTTTCCCGAAATTAACTTTTGACATGAATAAAACATTGAATTGGCATTGGCGCACGGGGCAAGTCTAGGAAGTTACCATATTCTAATGAGGCAAACTTTTGATTCAATATGGTCTAAACTCTCGTAGGCTTGACATTTTGGGTGGTCGCTTACGGGAAGTTGGACTGTAGATATAATGTACAAACTTACTCTCCCAGTTTGCGACTTTTCGTCCGAGGTTGTCCTTCCTGTCCCGCCTCTTCTCTCCCTTTTCCCAGAAGGAGGATCAGCATTCTCCGATCGTCTTTTTTCAATTAAACATTTGTTTTCCTTCACCGGTTCTTCATCACTATCTTCAGGCCCCTTGATGATGATCGTTGGTGTATCAACTTCAATCCCTGAAGTGTCCTCTTCTGCCAACGTTAACAAACTATTCAGAGAAACATCAGTAGCCAAACTTTGCTGATGTTGTAACTTTGGCGTAGAATCTAACGGCTTTCCATCGTCTTCATCAGGCTCAATATCTTCCAAAGGATCATCTTCTACCACATAATCTGCGTCCATTCCTTCGCACACAGATAAAAAGCTGTTCAAAGAACGCATACTAGCTAAACTGTAGCGATTTTCAAGCTTTTGTGAATGTTTTATAGGAGAACGTTTTCCAGCGTGTTTGTCGACGGCGAGTCTTGCTAGGTTAACTTCACTCTGAGATTTTCCGGCGTGGTCACGTGGATGAAGCTCGTTGCCAAGGTGATGACAGCTGACAGATCGAGCATATGCCACCTTTTTGGGAGATTTATCAGGCCGTGACGCGTGATTATCTCCTCTTCCACTTTCCTGTTTTATAACTGTCCAAATAAAAGGAACAGACAGACATAAAAAAAAAAATTCGTTTTTAGATACCTACTGATTCCCAGTCAGCTCTCAAAGGGTCAAACGTTTTTCTATGACAAAAATTCCTGTTGGGAAACCTTGTTTTCAACTGATCTGCGACGAGGAAATGGACGGGAAAGTTGAACATTGCAAAGTAAAAGCATAGACATCGCCCCATCACCTTAAACCTCACCCCTAACATTTTGCGGACAGCACTGACCAGCACTCGCTGATTGTGACTCATCTTGCACCATTATGGCAAAGGAAAATAATGTTAAGTGCCACGTACAGTCAATCTTATTTCAAGCCTCTAATTGGATGCCGTACTAACGTTGTGTTGTCAAACCATCAGCAATACAAAGATTAAAACATCACAGCCTACTTGTATTGTTTTCATAGCTGCCATTTTCACCAGCATAAGTGTCAAGAAACTCAGCAAACCGTCCTTGTGATTCTATGAGCTCTGCGTATGTCCCCACCTACAGTAAGTATCAGCAAGAATTTAAAAAAAACATCAGTTTTCGAGACAAGATCAACCAAACTAAATAGCACAATTCGTGACATGAAACTAACTACATACACTTAGCAACGCAATCAAACTTCTCTTCTTATTTTTCACAAATTCTACATGATTTATATAGATGAATTTGGTTTTACGCAAGACAACGGTCTTTCACATTTTTGACATTCTTACTCGAAGACGGTAGAGAAAACTGCAGCAGTTAGATACTGGTAGGTTCGCACGTGCACGTGCACGTACATAAATAATAAATAAATTACAATATTCAGAGAGGAAGCCACAGAAACGCAGCACGAATTTCGAGACCGCAGTAGAGACTGAAGTTTGCGAGTAATTTTAGACGTGCCGCCCTTTATTGAGCTCCCCACGTGACAAAAATATAAATAGCACCGCACTCGAATAAGTGCCACGTACGCTCGTTTGCAGCTTTTAAATCCCTATCTAAAGAGCTGTTTTACAGAACGGAATACTTTACATCTACTGATTCTCAAGGCCACAGTTCTTTGACTTTGACGCGTAAAAAAGAGTGGCATCGAAGATTGAAGGTTAATCCCTTGAAGATTGCTGTTACTGACTGCTATAGTCCTTTTAAAGATGTTTTTTGAGAACTTGGTGGTACAGCAAGACATTGCTGTCAACACCCGCGTTTTAGAACCTAAAATTTAAGAACCTGGGTGTTTTTTTTTTTTTTTTCCCTCCTGTTGAGCACCCTTCACATAAGAACAGTTCTCGGCTAAAATCTCAATCCAGGTTCTTATTTTCAAAATAAAGAGTTTTTTCGAATATAATACAGCCCAGCACATGCGATAAAAAAGGTAACAAAAACTAGCCAGAGCACTGGCAGTGTTATAAGACCACAATACTGTACTGTGAATGATTCAGTAAAAAGGCCACACCCATGAGTACAAGTTGATTTTTCAAACAAAAATTAAGTTAGGAATTCGAACCTAATTTCACAGTAAACATCACTTATATAAGAACCTATGGATGCTAACTTGAAAAAAAAACAGGTTCTTATACGGGGGTTTCTACTGTATAGCTTTGACTATCATTTCCTTTATTCTCGTCTCTTGTCTGATAAATAGTGTGCTATGTTGCAAGGAGAACTTAGAGGTTGATATTAAAGGAATTGCCTCACTCACCGGAGGTGGTTTTCAGGAGGATCCCGTGAATAAACAGGCCGTTATGAAATAGTTTGAAATACTACAAGAAAATGTAATTAATGACATAGTCAAATTCCCACAGCAGAAAATATCTCCGCTGAAACTATGCACTGACCAATGATCTACATTCCAAAGAACTCTGGGTAGACTAGGCTTCTGTAAGCGTGCAAGTATTTCTGGGATAGGCCACTCGGGGATTGTACTGCTAAATTTACTCTATAGACGGGTTCTGTGTGTGTGTGTTTTTTTGTTGTTTGTTTGTTTGTTTGTTTGTTTGTTTGTGTTTATTTGTTTGTTTTGTTTTTTGTTTTTTCCTCAAATTAACACCAGATACACTTGGGAAACAGTGTTAGACGACGAGTCCAGAAGTTATCGATGATGGGTTTTCATTCTTTATCACACAGACAACTAAGGCTAGCGTTCGTGTTATATGAAGTCAGTGTTGTTTTGAACCCACCCTTGTCCACATTCATGATCTCAGAAGTATTCACGTGACCCAGATTATAGAATGGTTTACCAACCAGACAAAGACCTCGTCCACACTTTGCAGGAGAAAATTGAAAACAGCGCTTTTACTCTAAAAACAGTAGGCCTAACCGCAGAAATAAGCTGCGTTTTCAAATTTCTCCGGCGTAATGCGGTCAGGACCTAACGGCGCTTTCAATTCAACCAAAATGTTCGGAACTTTCAAAACTGGGGCAAATGGAACGGAGATTCCCGGCCTGTTTTCGAAAATTTGGGTATACCCGTGCGAGGTTTTCCTCATTTCCGGCAATTCTAGAAGATAACGTTCCATTTTTCCTCTATAGATTTCTGAAGATTCACAACGGAAAAGTCGAATAGCAATTGGCCGAATGGAAAGCGCCGTAAGATATTTATGTACATGACCGTAATTTAGCGATGACTTGAAATGGAGGCCTAATGGCAACGAATAAGTCAAAGTAAAAATTGCTAACATCATTTCCTTCACACGTTTAACAAGTGTTTCAAGCTCCACAGCAAACGAGCCTGGCTTCGTCAAAGTCACTACTTACAAAAAGAACATCATCTTCTAGATGACAATCATAATATAACTGATTTGTTGTTGTTGTTGTTGTTGTTGTTGTTGTTATTGTTGTTGTTGTTGTTGCTGCTGTTGCTGTTGAACTTGTAAAGAGTATTCCAAGATTGCGCCACGGAGTACAAATATCTGTTTTAGATGAGTGCTCCTAATCTAATGACGTTTCCTTAACAGCAAAAACACAAACACTAACGTGCCCCGTGGTTACGTTATTGCTTAGTATTATTCTGTACATTACTACAAGTATGTCGTATTTCTGTTTCATTGAAATTGGTAATTTGGGTATTACAGTAAGAGGGGCTTAGCTAATAAGACGACAAAATGAAAAATAGCATTTAGTGCATACCTCGGAAACTTCGCCATCTTTGATAACTATGATTTGGTCCGTATACGGTAAAAATCTCACACTGTGTGTCACAAGAACACGAGTCTGAAAAGAAAAGAAAAAAACCATCATTCAGCTCACGTTTTGTCGAACAGCTATTTTACGGTGCATCAGTGGAACAAAAACAGAACTTATAGAAGAGTCTTTACTGATGCCATTGCTTACATTTCGCCTTAGTGTGCAATACCACTTTGCACAGAGTAGGTATCACGCTGGATACGAACTGACTACACACAATTTAAAGAATCTGTAGAAACTTAGCTATTAGCTACATGTTTGGCACTTTGGGTATAATTTGGCACTATTGATGACTCACACATTCTCCGTTCAATTTTAAGCTTTAGAACCGACGTCACACAAAAAAGCTCGAATTTCTTTGGACATTCAACCGATCCACACCCTTCCAATATTTAGAGTCAATATATTACCATAGCTCGATCAAAGACTGAATGAGGTAAACGCCGAGAGTAAAGACTGCCCTACTGATACATCCAATTTTACATATCTTCGAGATTAATCTACCTTTTCCTTCAGCAGTCCCTGAGGCCCAATGACTTTATCAAAGATGTGTTTTCCAACGTGTGAATCAACGGCACTGAGTGGATCATCCAGCAAGAAAACGTCAGCATCAAAATACACAGCGCGAGCTAAGCTCACTCGCAGCTTCTGTCCACCACTAAGGTTTATACCCTTGAAACAACCATGACGAGCAACAGTTAGCACTAATAGAGTCGCGAGTCTAAAACACAGGTCACGGGTCACATTATATATTGTTTTTACCAATACTGAAACAACCTTAAACCTTTACTAATACTAACCTTAAGCCTTAACATTGTCTTAGTGTAGTATTTAGGCCTAAGGTTAGCATTAGGAAGGGGTAAGGGTTGTTCCAGTATTAGTAAAAACAATGACCCGTGACCTGTGTTTTAGACCGGCCGCTAATGGAGATTGCAGAAATTTCCATGATGTATTAGCTTTGAACTAGCATTTGCCTCTAAGAAAAATGTTGTCGATCTCGAAACGTCGCGTTCATTGAAAATGTTAGCATATGGTATAACACGATATTTAACCCTATTCAAAAAGGGGGGAGGGCTTCAGATGCCCCTACCAACTTCAAACGCTTGTAACGCATACTATTTATTAGTATTATAGATACTGTACACGTACATTTTTGTAAAAACCGAGCCTTCGCTTTAAGCTCACTAACGTCTCGTGTTTAAATAAAGATTGTATTGTATTGTATTATTAACTTTAAAAGCACTACCGCAATGAACTTAGAATTTCATGACGTTTGCCAAAATTTGTCTAAGAACAATTTGATGTTCTGGAAATCCCGGAACGCACCTCCAAATCAACGTCGCACTGTTACAGGTTTTAAGACGAAATCCGATAGAAAATCGTTCAATTTCAGTTCTTAGTGGACAAAAATCTGGCACCAGAATAATTTTAAGACGGATTCCGCACAAAGTTCGAGCAATAAGTGCAAAAATTATTTACTAAAAATTTACTCATAGCACGGTAACTTTTGTAATACTATCTAAAACAACTCACTTTAGTTAATTTCTCTGAATGACCCCGCAATTAAATTCTAAAGCATTCTCGAGAAAATTAATGTCAAACATCGTAAGAATGCTTAAAGTGTGCGTTATTGTGTTTTTAACTAAAGCGAAAACGTTAAAAAAAAAACAAACACACAAACAAAAACAAAAAACAAAACAAAAACCTTTATTAACGTGTCTGGGGTATTTAGCGTTGCTGCTAATTGGGGACACACACAAAAAGAAGTTATGAATGTAAAAATAAATAAGTATATATTAAAAAAGTTAATAAGTAACGTTTTATGTGAAATATGGATAACTTCAAGTTCAATTTTCTCTCGCGGAATCAGCTTGAGAGCTTAAGTCTCGATAAGTTCTTCTCAACTGTATTCAAAATAATACCATGCCATGAGGTTTTTTTAGGTAACTTAATTTTTGCCATTATTGCTCAAATGTTCTGCGGAAATCATCTTAAGTATTTTACAGTCCTTTTTTATATTTTCTTAAAGCTAAAGATATAAATAGTTGCCTGAGGTAACACCGAAAACAATTTCCTTTGGGAACGAGAGAAAACAAATTTCAAAGTTCAGAGAAATTGTGCAAACACAGGAAAAATTTCATCATTCTAACATAAGTTAGCTAGAAGAAATTAACAGCAATGCTACTCTGTAAATTTATGAGATGATGATCATGATATGGCATGTCATTGGTCAAAAATTTTGATATTCAGGGTCCGAAATTAACTTTTTTCGGCAGGCGCCAACTGGCGACTGAAATTTTTTTTTCAGTCGCCATATGGAAAAATGTGGTCGCCAAAAAGTGTCAATAAAATTATTCCTTCGCAGCGAAACACAAACCAAAATTTTTGGTCGCTACGGGCTTGCTGACAAAAATATTTGCAATCGATGGAATCAGGAATCAAACCAGTGCTGAAATCATCTTTTGACCACTTTGACAGATCTACATTTCCACCTTTTGAGGCCCAGAGAATATCTAAATCTTCATCTAATTTCTTCGCCGATGTTCCGTCTCCACTTTGTAGTAAATTACGGAAAGATTTCAGAACATCTTTGGATACCACATCGCCTGAATAAATTCATGGCGAAAGAACGCATGGGGCCTCTTGAGCCCGCAATACGCATGTTATGGGAAACCGCTGAAAAAAACATGGCGGCGAAGCTTTGCACTAATCGTAGCTGTAAAACGTTGTGGTAGATTTATAATAACAGGAAAATCGGTTTTATACTTTAAAAGCAGCGGGAAGGTAAAAAGGAAGTGACCAATTGGCAGGCGGCTTTCAATTTTATTTTAATCGATTTGGCCGAAAATCAAAGTTATTGTTTGTGTAATTATCGTGGCATGAAATAGTTAATCACTCGCTGGCGACCAGTTGTGAAATTCTGGTCGCCAGTGCAAAATTGTTAGTCGCATTGGCGACCAGGAAAGCGCAATTTCGGACCCTGAATATTTCCATGAAAACTCAACTGTATTTTGACAAACTTGTACGTTTTTGAAATTTTGAATTTTCAGCAACTTTATCGTGGATAAGTGCCAGCATTAAAACCGAAATCACATGCCTGTCGTTCGGTCGATACATGTTATAAGTGGAACAAAATGAAGATCGATGTTAAACTTAGTAGAAAATCAAACAAAACAACAAATACGTCTTCTATCTTGCAGACAAACACAAACGTATATATATATGTTAAAAAAAAAAGAAAAGAAAAGAAAAGATAGACGTTCATAATTAAAACATTTTTTTCTCACCTTTTCGCCAATCTCTGTCATGTCACCTGCTGGTAAGACCTCGATATCAGGATCCAAGGCGCACGCGCTAATCACGTGCTTGTATCGCTCAGTGTCACGTGGCTGACCAAAGAGCACATTTTCTTTAAGCGTTGCATTCATGATCCAAGCCTGCTGAGGAATGTAAGCTGTGGTTCCCTGAAAAGATTAAAAAAGACAAGGGAAAAATCTTAGACGAAACAAAAAATAAAAACCATGCTATATTACAACCGGAATAGAGAACAGAGGCCTCTGAGCCTTTACATTCGGCAGGGGTGTTGCTAAGCAACGTGGCTATTGTCATAGCAACGAAATGAACAGAAAACGTACGTAGTGCTAGGTTATCCCTGACTGGATAACAACAGTCAGAAATTTCCCGCAGAGCTTGCCTAGACCTGGGAAAATTTTCACTTGGTGGTGATGTGTCATTTAATCTTGAAAGAAGCTTGTACAAAAACGCTGTTGTTATGGCACAAATGTAATAAGTCTACCCACCCTCAGTTGTCACAAGTGCTAGATTTTTTGAAATACAAACCTTAACATAAACTTTCCCATGCAATTTCTCGGTTTCCCCAAGAAGAGCAGAAAGAAGGGTTGATTTTCCACATCCAACCTGACCGACCACGGCAACAAGTGAACCGCTTGGAATATTCACATTGATGCTTGAAAAGAAAAGGAAATTGCAATGAACAACAGTCCAAGATCTAGAATGTGGAATGATGTGGTAGTGAGGCTCGAGCATACGGTGAAAGTATGAAAGAATACTAAAGAGGGGGGAGGGAGGAGGAAAGCGGGTGCGTGGATGGAAAGGAGTGACGGAAGAAAGAGGAAAAGATCAGCGGAAAAAAGGCGATAACCTGTAACTGCTTTTGTATCTACATGAGCGCGTGTCTGAAATTTGTAGCGCAATCTAGTCACTAAAATCGATATCTAATAAATTACTCCAAATTTTGAATCATTTATCTGCCTGTCTGTGTCTGTCTGTCTGCCTGTCTGTCTGCTGTCTCTGCCTTTCTGTCTGGTAGTAGGTCTGTCTGTCTAGCAGTAGGTCTATCTGGCAGTAGGTCTGTCTGCCTGACAGAAGGTCTATCTGGCAGTTTGCCTGTCTGTCTGCTGGTAGTACGCTCGTCTGTCTGCCTGGCAATCTTCCTGCCTGTCTCTGGCTGTCTGGCTGTCTCTATCCGGCCGTCTGTCTGTCCCTATCTGGCTGCCTGTCTGTCTGTGGCTGTCTGTGTTACGAATTCCCACCGTAATTACCCATTATCTGGCCATGGCTGGTCTTTAAACTCTGTTGACCTAATCTTGAAGTCGCGGGTTCGAATCCAGTCTAGCAACAATTCCTCCATTACCTTCTCAGAGGGAACTACCAGATTTCCTGCACCCGAATTAGTTTAGGAAGACTAAATAGCCTGCTTAACAGCAAGGCTAGAAGTTTTCTTACTTTCTTAAGACAGGAATGTCTTCAGTTCTATCCCAAGAAAAGGTTCCATTTTCAATGCGACATGCCAGGGTTGAACCTGGTAATGGACGAAATAGAGATCATGTAAACAGACTCGTATAACTGTGACACAGTCATTAGGATCTAACATTCCACACCCAGTGCAGGAAATGGGGCTCATGGCTGTCGAACCTTCTTGAGCTGTTTTCATGTATCAATGGGGGCTGGTCACAAAATGTCGAAATAACCTAACGTAATTTATCCTTGTGGATTAGTACTATGAATGCATAACTTCTATAGACAAACTGACATGCACAGCGAAGTGCAAAGTGTCATCTGGACAAGCAGGCCGCGATCATCTCGACAAGTGGGCTGCGGTTACGTCGTTCAAGCAAATGTTCAGGCAGTATGTGGCGTCTCATAACGTGATGTGCCTCTTACACAGCGTTCAGACTTACATTGTGACGGCATGCTTCGAATGGCGTTTTCGGGTTCTAATTCATCAAGTTTTAGGAACTGCTCGAGGCGGTGGAATGAGACTTGAGCCTAAACAAAAACAAAAACAAAATCAGAAAAACAGAGCACAGGTGAACACGCGCCAACTGCGTCACTTCCATGGCTTTATTTAAAATAGTTTACCTTTAAAACGCTGGGCAAACCTTACCCTTTTCCATTTCAAAAAGGCAAATACATGTACCTTGGTACGTCAGCGATCTGTAGCTATGAACTCATAAAATTATCTCAATGTTCCCCTGAGAAACCCTAAGGGATTACTTTATTTTCTGTAGAAGGGCTATTGTAGTCATTAAGTTACACCTCCAAATGAAATCAGCCTGCTTTTTAAAAGTCATTCAACTGAACATTGAAACATCCGTTTAACTCCATGCCCTCTCAAATTTTCGGCAGACTTCTGACTTAAGACCCGGTCACGTGCAAGCCCAAAGCTCAAGTTCTTTACCCTCGATAATAACACAGGCGTGGCATGTGATATATTATCGGCCAGTCAAAAAAGACCTTCCAACTGTAAAGTGTAACAATGTACGTTGACAAGCTGAACATATATGTACCTGAATAAAGTTCATTACCACTCTGGGTAGCATGGTAAGAGGAAAGCGAAGAATGTTAAACAAGGAGATCGCTACAAAGGCTTTACCAGCTGTCAGTTCATTTCCAAGCAAAACGTATACAGTGAATGTGGCTAGAGAGACCTGCAGGAGAAACAAATCAGGAAAAGAGACGAAAAACAAGTTTGCTTTGAACTTACAGGATGACACGTACTTGGAGGTAATGGTTGGAGCTTAAGTAAAAGTCAAGGAGTCGCTGTTATGTTTATTGACTTTTTTCCCGAATTTGCAAGGGAAGTTTAGATACATGTAGAGGACTAAGCTCACTCAACCTAAAGCCAGTACGGGTTGTTAGTGTCCAACTCGTGAAAACTTCTAAACTGATGTCAAATCTTCAATAAATCTTCATTTTCCTCTACTTATTTCAAATTCACTTAGCCGCCATCACTTCCTTTTCCTTCATAAATGTCTCAACAATTTTCTACAAAAAATAGCCATATTCCATGGGACCTTTAACTACAAACCAATGACGGTGTCTTTAGATGCATGAGACCTCAAAGACAATGAGCGAGAAAACGTATCAAAACGTATGAGAGACACATTGCCTAACGTTCGAGTCTGATTTTCTCTAGTGCCGTTATGAATTGCACTCTTCCAGTATTATTTTGCTCAGTATTAATTAATTCATACCTCTCCCTCTCCTATGTTAAGTTAACTTTTTTACCCTAATTATTATTGTCAATTAAACAAGGGCATATGATTAGCTTGCTATATTTTTGCCCTTTTCCATTTCTCCTCTTACTTGTTTACTTTATATTTATCTTTGTCATTTTAGAATGGAATAAATAAATAAAATGAAATGAAATGAAAAATGAAAAACCCAGCAGTGAAATACAAAGCATAATCATGATATTTTCTGGACGTCTGAAATATAGTTGTCAAAGACTTCGGTATTCATAAATTGGAGCAAACTGAAACACTTCCTCACCAAAAATGGAGCACAGATGAAAGTGAAGGAAACAGCTGCACCGAAGTACATACTGTTGGTGAGATGACGAAGTTCTTTATTTCTAATCTCAGTGATCTTGGTCATGAAGGATTCTTCCCAGGCATAAAGTTTAAGCACCTAGAAATACAAAGTTGTAACCAGTAACTATTTGTGTTATTAATTAATATTTAATATGTCAAGTTATTCTCGCATTTTGTTTGGTGCCTACTTATGATCTATTGAAGGACAGACGCATTTTTTTTTTTTTTTTTTTTTTTTACATTATATAAATTAAAACAAGTCTGTTCAGTAAAAGATCACAGAATACGCTTAACGGCTCGTGTGTCACTTTTTTGTTCTTACCAAATTTTGACGTCATCTGTGATCTATTACAGAGCATACGCACGTTAACACGGAATCTATTTGTTAAACATACAGGTACAGGTGAAAACGATATCATATAGGGCAACCCACACTACACATACTGGCAAGTGGCGGATCTAGGGGAGGCACCCCCAACCCCCCCTTATTTTGGGTAAAAAAAGAAGAAATCACAGAAGGAAGAAAAGCCGACAGGGCAAGCAAAACACCACCCCAATACAATACTAAATGAGGTTTAAGTTGTACAACGCAGAGGACATTACCTTAATTCCACTAAGCAGCTCGTTCGTCAGCTTAAGCCGTTCATCAGCATTTTCCAATTGTTTCACCTGTAAATAAAAATATTGCAACAATAGTTCCATAGGCATACTCATGAATTCTTGTGCCAACCTTGGCTTGACCTCCATAAGAGCTCCAGTTCCGTTTTATAGTTTTTTAACGTACTTAAATCGTTTGAGTTTCCCATAGGATGTTTGCTGTTGGCTTTGGGTAGTCGTGTAGTGGTGTGTTTGCTTCGCTTTGTCGAGTAGTGTCCAGAATCTTATAAAGTTCAACAGTCCTTGACCCATTTACAACAGGTCTACAATTTACTGTGTAGTATAAATTTTAGCTTGCGAGCAGGCTCACCTTTTAGTCACGCGCGCGAGCGGCGAAGAGCAAAGAGATTCGGCGGGAAGGAGTCTGGTGAAGAGGCGCCAAGAAAGTCACTTTCTTGTCTCGCACCGCACGCTCTTCTGCTCCAACAAGAGCCTGCTCACAGGCTAAATAAATTTAGCTTGCTTTGTTTGGCTGTAAGTGATGTTGAAGCAAACAGTACATGCTGAAGCGTACAGAAAAATAAAAATCCTAAACAGAAAGAAAAGACTCCTGGGAACCTTTCCCCTAAAGTGGCGAGAAGTTGACATCCAATCCTAATAATATACTGCAGTTATCACCTGTATCTTCCTGGCTAGTCGTGTAATGAGAAGGTTCAGCGGTATCAACATTATCAGCATGCCCAGTCCGGCCAGAACAGCCACACCCATGGTGACGTACAGGAAATAGATGGCAACACAGATTTGGAATGGTGCTGACCATAGTTGATTGAAGGACTGCACCAGCTGCATAACACGCTGAGCGTCAACAGCCATAAGGTTCACCATCTCCCCTGCTGTAGAAATTCTTCTTGATAAGCTACTCAGTGACAAGGCCTAGAGATTCACCAAGAAATTAACAGACAACAACATCTTAAGCACATCAAGAACAGCCAGAGGAACATTTACACAGAAATGATTATTACAGTATATCAGAAGATGGCAGAAAGCAAGTTATACCGCTTAAGAAAAAGCGTTACTTTGAACATTGACCCTACAGGTGAAACAAAATATTCAAGTTTATTGTGTCAATACATGTACATTTGTACGCTTAGCTATGAGAGTGAGTCGCCACAACACTAACCCAGACTTGAGAGTGTCAAGGGAGCGATTTTATAATACCGGGCCACTTATCAATATTTCTCTCAATGCTTCTAAGAACGAAAAGGAACCATCCAAATTCAATGGGATGCAAAAGAGTGGCCCGGTTTCCTACACTCTAGCCCTAATTCCTATTGAGCCATCACGGTAGAGATCTTTATATCCATACGGCCATGTGTATATAAATAATGTGTGCAGTTTCATTTCAGCTGCAAAATTTCTGTCGAGTTTAGCCGCAAGTTCCTTTTGTTAAATTTTCGGCAATGTAAACATCATTCTGAACAATCCAGATCCTATTTTTTGCCAAGCTAAGATGTTTACTAAAACCTGTTGAGTATTTTGACTTTGCCTACATTTTCATCGAGTATTTTTGACTTTTGACTTGGCTCGTATGCAGACTTGACCTACATGTACCTACCATTTTTGACTTTGTTTGCCTACATTTTTATAATAGGTAATTTGAAGAAGCAAATTTTTCAGTCATTGACAATTTTAAAAACAGAAGAAGCCCTTTCATTCAACTGTTGCTCAACTGATTGTGGCGTGTTTTTAACCAGGCAATAGGATCATTTGTTTTCCTTCACAGTGCATTGTGACAACTTTGTAGTCAATCACAAATACAACATGTTTTAGGCCTCAAGTTGTTGTCGCTAAGTTATAACAGAAATGGTTCATGCTTTTAGCTGTGCATATATCGAGTTATGGATGCAGCTGGGAAGTTTGGACAGCACTCCAGAAGCTAGAGTTGCTCTCGGCTGTCCCCTCGAGCAACTCTTACACCTCTTGTCCTCTCCAAACTTACTGTGTGCACCCACAACTCGATATACACTCCCTAAGCATAAGCCAATTCTTTAATATAATTATATAATATAATTATTTTCTCCTGGGTCCCCATGCTACTGCCCCTTACTCTCCCCCCCCCAAACCCCTCCCTTTCCTTATACCATTATTTCTCTGGCATCCATCCTTGGACATCAAATTTTAATAACATGGTTGCAGACTTCAACAGAGATGACTTACCTTAGCATAAACAACTCCAATTATACTTGTGTGGACTCTCATTGCTGATTTAAATGCAATATGAAGTGAATGTTGAACTGCTGTCATTTGAAAGATTGCTATGACAACCATACAGGCAACATACACATAACCCTTCCACTTGTCTGCCTCATTTTCTTTATCCTCTGTGTATTCTATAAGGAGTCTGTAAAGCAGGAGCAAAATTAAATTAAATGTACGTAAAATAACGTTGTGATCAAGAAATCACTTTGTATAAGTAATCACAGAGTTTGAGTGCAATTTGGTATAAATAGTCTGTGCAACAAGTGCTCATTTTCGGAATGTTCACATGATTTTCGTTTACCTTCGGAAGGATTCAGGTAATCCTCGGAAGTGTTAAATAAAAATATCATATTGAGAAAATATGTTATGTACATATGTATTAAAGCTAACCCTTGAACCACACCCATAAATGTTGCCAAAACAAGATTTTGGCAGCACATCCTTTGTTTTTTGGCTTCACAACAGTCATTTTAAAACTGACCCCCATGATAACATGTAACCCTGGTTCAGACTTGTAAAATATAACACAAGTGAAATAAGCACAAGCATAAGCACAAGAAAAAGAAACATGTTCCTTTCTTCTTGTGCTTGCGCTTATGTTTATTTCACTTGTGTTATTGTGAACCAGGCTGTAGCAGGTTTGAAACTAGACTTCTCATCTCAAACTCACAGTCCACCTAAGTAATTCCTATGCAACAAATTAACAGGGAATGTATTATACACTGTAAACACTACCTCATCATACCCTAGGGGACAGGGGTGAGGTGGATGGGGGAATGTAACTCCCAACAAAGGTGACTGTCATTCATTTTTCTGGCCAAAATTTGTAGTTTAATGCTGCTACTAATTAATTCCCCCACCACACCCCTCTCATAAAATACAGTGAATAAAACAAGTCAGTGAATCTGATCAGGCATCTTAAACGAGAAAAGAAGGGGCTTATAAAGTTATACCCTAGGAATATGAACTATGCGTTTATATCTAAAATTACCCCTCTTTATATCGAACCTCACTGATACCTTTTCACATACTAAGGCTATTCAGCTGAAAATAAAATTAAATATGATAGGAATGACTTATCTATATAGGAAGTGGTGCCTCTTAGAGGTGCAAATGAATTCAAGCTACATTTTAAGAAAATTGACCCTGGTACCCCTTCAAATCTCTCACAATCATCCCCATCAATTCAGTAAGAGAGTACCCCCATTATACCTACTTCATACATGCATATCAAGGTTGTCATTAAGAGCCATACCCCATAAAATGTACATAACACCTGTTAGGGCCCTTGATGTTAATGGTCCATGTCGAAAAAATGGGGAAAATGGAACTGTATTGTAAGACTCCACTTACCCTAGAAGATACGGCTGAATGAAAAGCAATATATCGTTGATCAGTTTGAAGACGATTCCAATCACAAAGTAAGGAGCAAACACTCTGATCATAGCTTTGACCAGGGATGGATCATGGCATTTCTTTCTAGCAAAAGTAACATCAGAGGTTCCATGAAGTTGGTCCTTCTCAAGTTCATGTTCATCAAACTGAGGTGCTTTGTTTTTCCTGACATGTCAACAAACAGATGCAGGCTTGTCAGAAATAAAGGGAGACGCATAACAGGAGATTATCTTATGGTTACTGTAATAAATCATTGCATTCAGACTGCATTTAACCTAGAAAAGAATGCACTTTCTCGCGCACAGACATATACATGCACTACCTATCTTGCACTACTCCTGATAAAAACATCTCTAAAAGATAAAATAAAAGTTTTTCAAACACCCGCAAGAAGGAATTTAGAAGAGGATCGTGCAAGGTCATCGATACCACTTAAGGATCCTTAGTCTGCCAATGATCATCAAAGATCTTAGGCAACAATCCCCACAAAGATTTACCGGTACAATGATCCTAAATACAATCCTTAAAGGATTCAATGAGGATTTTGCCAGGGTCTCAGGATAACATTATTTGAAGAATCTATTTGTTGCAACTGATATAAAACCTTTCAGAGTATCCTTGAGGATTTTGCAAGGGACTTTCGAGTGGGCCTTTTTAGGATATCAGGGCTCGAAAAAAAAAAAAAAAACACCTGAAGTCTAGCTTGCCCTTCAGACAAGCAGCTCTCAAATTTTGCTTGCCCTGGGCAAGTCTTAGTTTACTTTCTTTTTCTTTAGTTGGCAGACGATTTGCCTGGGCCCTTAGCCACTGGGCAAGTGAGAACGAAGAGTTATTTGCACAGCAGAACAATCTACAGTACACGTACTTGTACTGGACAACCGGACGACACTTTTCGAGCCCTGGATATTGTAGCAATCATTTCGTTCAAGATCCTTCAAGAACATTGGAGATCTCTGGGTATTATACATGTCAGTGAAGATTATCAAAGGTATTTGAATGTGAAGATCTGTATTTGAAACATGTACAGTGTAACTGTAAAGTACTTTCACCAGCAGAATTAAATTGAAGTGGATGAGGGAAAATGGTGACAGAAGTACTCCCACAGACTGATCTCGAGACACTCACCCATGATTTTTTCTAAGTTCCTTGTCCCATTCCCCGTGAAGTCTTGGTACAATATTACAAGAAAGACTTTTTTCCTCCAACGACCACAAGTCACTGTCCTGCAATGGTCTCTTGAAGCCAGTTAGAAACAAACTGCACACAAAAAGAAGAGTAAAAATTATTATCTACAGTACAAGTCATGTAGCATCATAGACACGAATCACAGGTTGCGATGGCTTGGTCATGTGCTGAAAACGCCCAATGAAGGGATAGTTACCGAACACTGGCTTGGAATGGACCTCAACTGAGAGAAGAAAGGGAGACGTGCCAAAAACCACCTGACAGAGGACAGTGATGAAAGTGCTGGGGGACGGAGATGGGTCTCTCGTGGGGTGAAACACAGGCCAAAGTACGGGACAGGGTTCTGATCAGTGGCAGGGTTTGACTGCAGCCTTTAATATACGTAAACTTTTAAGCACTAATAAAAAGTAATCATCAAGACACAAATTGTGCAAAGAGCACATACATGTACATGTAGAGCCATAACTGTCCATGCAGTCATTGGCGCACATGGTGTATAGACCGACTGTATGGTTATGTTCTGATAGTACCTACATGAACATCACAGGCATGCAATGCATGCAAAAGGGCTGGACAGCTACAATATAAATAGTCCTAACACTGCACTAAGTTCCATATATATACATATACATGTACACAGGGTAAAGGTACATTTATACTTAAACCTTTAAATTATTTCATTGACCAGCAAAGACTAGCCCTCTGCTTATGTTACTTCATAATCATTGTTGCATGACAACCTATAACAACCTATTTAGGAAAGAAAAAAGGGCTAACAGACTACACAAAGTTTTTACACAGTCATGCACTTAAACTAACAAATCAAAGTTAAGCATAAATTGTAACGGTCAACATTACCTGTTTAGCCACCAAAATGACACGCGTGAAAAGAAATTAGCTTTCCCTTCTGGGCATGGTTTCTCCAAGGAAAAAGCACAATCACAAAAATTACTGTCAGTAAAAACTTGTAATATAGTGCAGCTCAGAAATAAGAAAAGATATACATGCACACTTTGCATCAGCCAAAAACAAGTACATACAGTGTCCGTGTGTGCATGCACGGGTATACAGCATACAGTACTTGTACGTGCATATGCCTCATTAGTATACATGAGCTAGCGTATTGTTTCTTCTTTTCTTAACAGGTCATTGTTGTTTTTAATGGCTTGAGAGCTTGCCACAAGGCAAGAAGTATGGATTATTGACCAAGTGTGAGGTCAAGATGGCTGGATATTGGCCAAGTTCTTCTTTTGCGTGTTTATGGAC